GGGGGGGGGGGGGGTCTTCGCAGCCGCGCGCTGCACTGACTTGGCGCGCCTGCCCCGCGCGACCCGGCCGGCGATACCGATCGCGACCGCAGACGAGGCGCGCACCTCAGCGGCGGCTATGGTGCAGGTCAACATCTCCGCGACAGACCGGCTCGGCAACGTGGGGCGGCAACGCAAGAACGTGAGCGCGCGCGCACCGCCCGCGCACACCCCCGCGTGGACAGGGCATTCCGGCTGTCTTCTGCGCGCGTGCATGCGCTGGCCTACACCGGCAACACCAAGGCGTGCGCCGCATCGGCCGGCCTGGCAGCCACCCTGGGTGCCGCCCCACCCGTCCTCAACGCAACCCCGGCCGGAGAGCTTCCCTGCGCTGTCTCACGGATCGATGAAACCGCCCCTTGCCCCTTTGTTTTTGGCGGCCATTCTCAGGAGAAACAGGTTGACGCGTGGTCTGCCGCGATGCTGCTGACTCGGTTCTTCCAAAACCCCGGCTCGGCGGTGCGCGTGAAGCTGCGCTCCATCGAGCGGCGCGCACCGGCCGCACAGCAGCAGCAGCAACGGCATCAGCAGCGGCCCCAGCGGCAGCCCCAGCAGCAGCGGAGGCCCCGGCAGCAGCATCAGCCCGAGGCCGGTGCGGGAATGGAGGGTGCTGCGGCGGCCCCGAGCGGCGACGAGGACCCCGGCGGCAGCAGCAGCAGCAGCAGCGATGCGGCTGTGGGGCCAAGCCTCCCGGCTGCCGAGGAGGGGGCCAAAGGGTGATGTAATCGTTGCCCACCCGTGCTGACTACCTGAACAGACCAGCCTGAATTATCTCAGTCGCTTGTGTTGTATTGTTTGGAGATAAGATTTCATCTGAGCAGGTCCGCATGTCATTGGAGGAAGCGTAACAAGACGAAAACAGCACCCTTTAAAATTCCCTAAAACACAGAACGATGTCGCGGGATTCGGCCCAAGCCAGGTGGTGCCCACACCCTGGCCCCCTGCGCCTGCTGATGCGGGGACCGCAGCGCACCCTTGGTCAGCTCGTGGAGCCAAGGCGCCGCCTGCTGCCGCCAGCAAAAACCCCGCGCGCCGGCCGCCGAGTCAGCACTCCCGAGCCTGCGCAGCGGCCATGTCGTGGGCACCACCCGCTTCCGCCGCCTCAGGGAGCCCCGCGCCACCACCCGCGCCACCGCCGCCGCCCGCGCCGGACCCCGCCGCCACGACCGCCAGGCGCTGCTCGTCGAATTCGAAGCGCCACCAGAAGCCGCCGCCCCGGCGCGCCTTGCGCACGTCGCGCGCGCGGGAGATCCTGATCTCCCCTTTTGAGGGTGGGGGGTAGGGGTTGGGG